GTTGAGTATTCATTCTTTACTTGTATTTCATGACCCTGCAGCAGAACCTGGTAAGTTGATATGACAACATGTAAGGATTGGTAATAGCTGCCACACTTAGCTCTGCAAACAGTGCTGTCGTAGGGGATGTCTAGAATGACCCCATTTGACTGTTGGATTTCCATGTAGTTTTATTATGTTATTGACACTTTTTTTCTGTTTTTATGATTTTTGAAAGAATCTCTTGATTTTTTAGAAAGCATAAGTGCCATCTTGAGGGCAAGGAGAATGCTCCTCATGACTGTTAGATTGGATTGAAAACAGGGACTTCAAGATCCAGCTTTAGGCTCTGAATTGTTCTACTGACTGTAGATAGTTTGGCTGCATTATGCATAATTTTGTATTACAAGCTACAATTTTTTAGAGCTTATTGCTATTTTGCCATATGCATGAAGTAAAATTTTGATATATCAGTACAGGAAGGTACAGAAATTATATACTGGCATATCATAAATTTTTAAGAGAGATTTCTTTTTTACTAATTTAATTGATCACATAATTGCCAGTTCTGATTATGATGATTATATCAAAACTGCAGACTGTAGAGATGGATTCTATGGAGTGCCTTTGTACTAAATTCAGGGTCATTGGGTATATGCTTCTTGGACAGTCATTGAAAGAAAGTTAAAAGGTATTTGGAGCTTACTAACTACATAATTTCTGCAGACCTTTGTATTTACTTTGAATGCTTCAGGGTACTACCGCTCATCATATTACAAATGTTCTGAAATGCAAATGATTAGTAGCTGATCTTGTAGGTATATATGCTAACTTTTTTATTCACTCACTAGAATATTAAAAGATGTCATAGTTTTATTGACAAAGTGGCAGTGGCTTCATTCTAATGATTTTAGAGACACTTGGAGCAGGGCTTCTTTAATTTGGTTGTCAAAAAGAAGGAAAGAAGACTCCAGGCATTCTTGTTTTTCTATTTACTTATTTCCTTTCTCTCTGCCTGTAAGGAATCTTTGCATTTTCCCCCCTGTCATTTCTTTGTAGCTATATTCTGTAGAGATATGAGAATGACCCAGATTTAATTTCTTTCATTATACCTTGTAAATTTTGAAAGGAATTACCTTTTTTTCTATTTATCCTCTTAGACCTTATGCAAATACTTTACTTCATTATTTTCAGTATTTCTTGGTGTTTTCAAATATGATTTATATATTACCGATTTAAATCATTGATTACTATAACCACACATAACATTCACTTCAGAAGGTCAGGACAGAAATATGTTTCCTTACAGCAATCTGGTGAAGGGCCAAGGAAGAGGGCTTCAACGGGAACTGAAATGGGAAGCCGCGAGCGAGGAAGCAGCGAGTCATCGACACGCAGCGAACGCTCGGACACAGTCAGCCAAGGGGACGACACCACCAGCCAAAAGTCTGACCCATCACCTCTGGTCAGTTTCCCTTGAGTCCCATCGAGGATATCTTCTTGTTTGCTTATTTTTTTTTGATAGGTTTACTTTTTTATCTTTTGTTTTAAATGTTTTTTTTTTCTTCTTCTTCTTCTTCTTCTTCTTCTTCTTCTGTATTGATTTAATTAAGATATGTGTGAGTTAAGATGATCAATTTCTAAGAAAAAAAAATGGTGAGTTACTTGCTATCCAGTAAAGCTTGATTACTGTAAGTGTGGTAAATATGATTAGACATGTATAATTACTGCGGGATTTACACCCAATATTCTCTGAACTCATTGGCCTGTTCAGTTTTATTTAACAGAAAAAATTATTTATCAAAGGTGATTTGGTCTCTTATTCTGCTATGGAAAGGATGGAAAATATGGCTTGTGCAATGTGATATGCAAAAATACACAAAGCCTGTAAGAGTCACGATTTTGTAGAATCTTGGAGAGATTTTGTGGTAAATAGAAAACACTGTTTGAGTAAGGATTAGTAGATTACTATGGCCCATGTCGTATACATAGCAAGTTACGTATTACATGTGCAGCCTCTTTGTAGCAGTGCAGTCATACCTCAGAAATTTTTGAGTCTTTGCATTGAAAGTATATATTTGTAAAGGTAATGATAACTTTGATACATTGATATAGCACTAATGTCACTATCTCATACAGCCACCAGTATAAATGGTGCGGCTGATTATTTTTGCAGAAACAAAAGCATTGAAAATTGGTACTTAAACATAATTTCAACTATTCCTGGCCAAGCACCTGCCAGCCAAAGCATCATTTGTTCAGGTACAACTGACTTTTATTCTGTTCATAGTTCCATTTGCACTCTTGGGCGCACATCCACTTTCATTACATAAATAGTATTGCTGACAAGCCATCCCCTATTTTTTTTAAAGCTGGATATTGCACCACCGCTAGTTTAGAAAGTCCATCTGCAAGCTTGTGAAATGTTGCAGTTAAAATTGGTGCCATACCAACTGCTGCCAGTGCTGCTATGATAAAATTTTGAAACGAGTATGATTCTGCTATTACGTACAGCCATTTAACCACAAACCACATAACAAGCAGTACCAATACACACTTTACTGAAAGAAAATTTGTAGACCTGCAAATTTAAGAGCTTCCTACTGTTGAGATATTCCGAAAATTTATGAACCTTATGTATTTATTCCTGTTTTTGCATTTCTTATTTTTATTAAGAAGTTCCTACCCAAGAATATTGACTGCTGGTTTTGCACTGGGTTCAGCTGCTTGGATCTTTTCTTCTTTGTTTACCAATACTCTCTCTAAAATAAATGTGACCATACACAGAGGTATATATTTTGGTAATTGTTTTTCTTGCTTTAAAAATATTAGTTTTCATTTTTCTTATTTATGGAAGATATAGATAAGATACATATTCCCATGTTTATCACTAGACAATACTGATTCTGTAGATAGGCAATTAAATGCACACATTGCTTATTGTGATTCATATTGTTATTATCTCTTGTGATTTATGTATCTGCAGTTGATTGTGACTTTGGTGGCATTATAAAGCACATATTTGTATTTTTAACCATGCTACTCCTGTTTGGTGTTGGGCGTTGATCTTATTTCTCTGTCTCCTTTTTTTCCCTTCATGCTGACTCACAGAAATTGGAATATTTGAATCTCGTAAGTACTTATTGATGTCTTGTGTTTGCATGCTTGATTGATGCACTGCAAGCTCCCGAAGTTTTCTTTCCCGGATGTGTGAGTGCGTGACTTATCTTACTGATGCTGTTGTGCATGGTTATAATGCCATTTCTGTTTATTAATGTTACTTTCTTTTGTGAACCTTCAAGTGCTTAGTGTATCTGTGTAATAAAGATTTTCTATTTAGATGAAAATAGTATAATTTCTTTTGGGAAATGTTGTTGACTAAAATATCACTTTCAGGATAATTATGCCACATGCATATAACAGTAGATGGAAAAGCAGTGGTCTTTGCAGTCTTTGAATTAGTTTGTTTTATAGTATTACACCTATAGTGTAAGGGGAATATTGTTCATTGGTATTCAGGCCAAGATTCAAACACGCGTCCTCATTTCAAAAGAGTCTATTCTTCTAAAGGTACATTTAACAGCACTTGAATGTGTTGGAGACGAACATATGGCCTTGCTTGATGTTAGATACGATGATATGACAGTATGATGGTATGATGCTACGACATCATACCATCGTAGCGTCATACCGTCATACTGTCATACTGTCATATCGTCGTATCTAACATCAAGCAAGGCCATATGTTCGTCTCCAACACATTCAGGTGCTGTTAAATGTATCTTTAGAAGAATAGACTTTTGAAATGAAGACGCGTGTTTGAATCTTGGCCTGAATACCAATGAACAATATTCCCCTTACACTATGGGTGTAATATATAGATATAACTACTACAGTTCAACAAAATGGGAAAAAATATCTTCAGCAATATGCTTAGACCATTTATTTAATGAGCTTTATTTTCAGCTTGCTAAGTTATTGTTGACTTCAGCTTTGTATTGAACTTTTCAAATACATAAGACTGATGTAAGGCTGAATTGCTTTATAGATTGTGTGATTTCTTACCCTGTTTATAGGTACTCATTTTTGAAAAGGATTAAGATAATGTTATGTACAACTGATTTTTTTTTTCTAGATATTGCAGTATAACCATTATAAAGAATATATGCTTCTTCCTGCTTATTGCTGAAACTACTTCAACCTTATTCTTTGACTTTCTTAACAACTGCTAATGACGGCAATAGTTTTTGAGAATCACTGACAACTTTGTGACTGACCTTCATTTGCCTGTTATGATAAGAGAGTGCGCACCTAAAAAGCACCCATTCTTGTGTGGATTAACGCATGTCAACATCTGCTAAGGGATGGAATATCCACCCTACATACAGACTTCATGGACGACTTAATTGTAGACAGGTTTTTCTATTTTGTATGTGTGTGTGTGTTTCTAGGCTATGATTTATTCAGCTGTTTTTGACTGTTTGCTGATTATGTGATTTTTGTTCCAGCGTTAGAGGGAATCAAAGTAAACATGGGTTTTGTAAACAAGAAATGTAGTTCCAAAGACTGTATCTCATGTTATAATTCAAGGAAAAATCTGCAGAATTTTGATCCAAGGATAATATTAGGTAGATAGTATTAGGATACGTACTTCTTATCTTTGATGTAAGGATTACCTTTACTTTTTTTGTGCATGCTGTGACACTCATTTTCTTTTTTCATTGGAAACTAATTAAATGAAAATAATTTTTATCTGAGAAGGTGATCTTACATCTTGGTATGTACTTCAAATAAAGAGGAATGTAGGATTTAGCTTGTACAATTTCAAGTTCTTAATATGGTTATTAGTATTGTTTGTAGAGTGAGAAAAAGGAGAGAAAAAAGGTGTACAATAAAGAAAGAAAGATTTTTAGGATATTTTTTTTGGAATAGAAATTAATTGCTGGACCTTGTATTACTGTATTAGCATTTGTGTAATAGGTTTGATGTGTGTTTGTATATGTGTTTTAGATTTTTTTGTTTCTATTACAAACATGTAATCAAAAATTATGAAACTTATCTTTAGATTCTTTATCCTGTGCTTGAATTTAAAGTAGGTGACCTGGAAATGAATAATTTCTGGTAACCCTTATAAAAAAATTTATTCAGATTCATATACATTCTCAATCTCATCTGTGTTATAGGCTACCCCGCAGCTTGCGTCAAAACGCAAGAGTCTCCATGGAAGAAAGTTGAGGCCACAGAGTGTTGTAGGTGAGTATATTTTTATTTAATAAGAATAAGATGGTAAATTTGGTCTTATATATTTCATAACATCTTGTATGGTAGTTTGAGCATGCTTGCCTACTCAGCTTGAATACATCTTATATAATTGTAACAAATAGTGTAGTTTTATGCAGAAATATTTTCTCATGCTTTGATTGCATGATGGTGATCAGTTTGCAGACTTATAGCATGAATAGAACTTTTGCTTTTCACTTGATTTCAGTGCAGTTTTATCTCTGGAAGCATTGGTAGAGCTTGTAGATATACATCCCTAATTTGCTTGATTCCCATTTACCACTAATCTTATAATTTGCATGACCCAAGGGTACAATGATAGCGTACAGTGATGAGGCTTTTTCTTATCTGAATGCATGCTGATACTTTGGATTGCTCCTGTTCTTCCAGATTATGCTGATATTCAGGCGGCCTTGAAACACCGAACTTCAGTCAGTCGATCTAGTGCAGAAAATTTCTTGAGTGACGGAAGTAGTACTTTTAGCACAGACATTTTATGCGGGTCATCAGAGAGTCTAGATATGGACACTGTCATACACTGGGGCAAGGATGACAATCAAAGATACAGGGGGGAGCTACTGATGTCTCGTCCTCAATCTTCCTCATTTGAACTCAGTCAAAAATCACAAGAATTATCTCACAGCAAACACATGTCTACGGGTACGTCATGTGAAATTAAGGTTGTTGTGATTACAGAAACAGGGTCCATAGAAACATGGTGTCTGGTTGTTTGTGATATTTGACATATTCTTTTATTATTCTAGAAATTTAATTGACAAGATTTTTCTTGATAAGATTTAAGAAAAGGAATTAGATTAAAAAGATTCAGTTTCTAACAATAGAAGGAATGTATATTGAAGCCAGCATAGCTAATTAAAATTAACGGAACTGAAATATTTCAACCATATTCTAAGTCGCACACACTAGGCCCACAACAGTCCTTTACTAGACCAAGGCCTTTATGCATATTCTAAAACAAAATGTTAGTTGATGATTTCATTGGTAGTGTAGGAGGCAATTTGATTTTAGAAAACTTGCTGCTGACTCAGGTTTCAAGTGGTTATGTTGTCCGTTGTATAAATCTCAGTGAATGATTGAGTGATTTCTCATACATTATAGTATTATTTTCAGCTAGATATGTATATAATTAAGTAATAGGTGCTTGTTTTGTAGAATTGTTGTGGGATTACCTTAAAGTGATATTCCAAGTTATGGGAGTTATTGTTTGGTGAACTAATGCACCGCATCTGCATCAGATTGCAAGACAGCACATCCTTTACATCATCAAGGTTGCCAGTTTTTGAAAAAAGCTGATTGTATTTGATAATGTAATCTCTATATATACTGACAGAATTAGCTTCAAAAGTGGAATCGTTGGAAGTTTTATGTGGTGACTATTTGTGTTGAGCACTTTTTAGAGTTGGCATCCCTAGTCAAATTAGCAGCCTGGTCAATTCAGGGACTTCCTAAACTCCATCCCGCACCACTTGCATTATGAGCCTAGATCTAGTGTAGGACTGGTGTGCGAGACCTAGAATATGGTTGTGTATCATACATTGATAGATTATGGGTATTGCTGTTATCACATTAGCATTATAAATAGAAAATTGCACTAACTCTTGATATTCTCATCACCTGTATTGGCTTAATTGTAGATCAAAGCTTTAGTACAAAATGTATATATAACAAGAACTGTTAGAATAGTTAGATACTCAATGTTTTTATATGTAAACATATGGTGTATAGTAGTCCTTTGAATATAATAGTTTTAGTATTTTAGTTACTTGAATAATTTTCAAGAATTCATTCAGTACCATGAACTTGATTTATCAAAATTTAGTGTTATTAAACAACTCAATCACAACTAGAAGAACAGAGAGTTTAGAATAGGTATTCATAATTCCAGAGAAATATGCAAAGAAGACCATCCACTCAGTCTTTTTCCTTTCTTTAGCTTGCATGATTGAATGATTCCATATTCTCCCCCTCTATTAAAAGACCAAGAAATTCCATATACAGAGAATGCATGGTTTAGTGTATAGACCTTAAGATATTTTCTGCTTGTTTGTCTGTCCCTGTCTCTGCTCATGTCTTGCAGTCTTTTTAAAGGGTGTTAAACAGTGAATGATGAAGGGTAAAGAGGTTTGTGTAAAGGAAAGTGACTGTAATGTTCATTTGGATTGGAATTTAAATCCTGTAATCTTTTAGTAGATGAAGATTGTTGCAAGAAAAATATGTAGG